TTTTCTGCCACCAACTCACAGCTGATTTATGCCACCCCTGTAGGGTTCTCAAGGCTAGAGGCGTTCAGAGGTTAGCCCTTGCCTTCCTCTGCACAGCGACCCCGGACTTCCTTGGTGGTCTCCCTTCCAAACAGCAACCGGGGCTGACCCGAATAAGCTTCTGAGTTCTGACAAGACTGAGCTATCCTGGGCTATTCACATGCTAGCTCAGGTTAAACACCAACTTGTCATGACATCTGAATGCAGCCTAGATGAGCGGTGAACGAAAACCTAGTTGAAGTCTTGCCCGGTTCTTATTTCGACACCCTAACCCTTTGAAGTCTTGCCCGGTTCTTATTTCGACACTGCCTGGTCGGGAACCCTCCTGAAATTACCTGGAATTGCAAAGCGTTAGATTTCAAAGTGGCTGGCGCAGGTGATTTTCCTTACAAGATTTTTCTTTTTGCTGAGATTATCTGATAGATTGTCTCACAGGTGTATTTAGGGATGGGCAGCTTTAACTGGGGCCTGCTGCATTAAGCTCAACATAAAAAGCTGCTTAAATTAAATGCAGGCTTATTATACAAGGCTGCTAATCAAGCAGAAATAATCACAGCTGGTGCTTTCCCCGCCAAAGAGCTTTAAATTTAGCGAGCTGCAACATCATTTATGCTAACGTCTAGGATAGCCTTGATTTTGCTTGAGTGATTTAGTAAACATTTCTGCATGGCTGTGCAGCTCATTCATAGCAAAAGTCAAGGCTGTGTGTAAACTGTGATTCTGCAAGGATGCCAAAAAACAGAATTTAGCTTCCCAAGAATCTTTTGCTCGTTCTCCTTTTTTCTAAGATAGCTCTTGGGAGCAGTGTTCCCTCTAAGCTGAGTTAGTGTGAGCTAGCTCACAGTTTTTTAGCCTCCAGCTCACACATTTTTGTCTCAGCTCAGGGAGGAGGGCTCCAGATCAAACTAATTTATGCAGCAGCCAAATCGCTGGCTCGCCACTTTAATGCCAGTAGCTCACAAAGTAGAATTTTTGCTCACAAGACTCCACAGCTTAGAGGGAACATTGCTTGGGAGTGTGGAAAAGATGCTGAAAAGACGTGAGAAATGCTTGCTGAAGTCTCAGAAGGGGCTGCTGGTTAATATTTTCAGAGGCTACAGTAGGATTTCAGCATCCTTCCACAGCTCCTTGTCCCCCCACCCTCAAGAAAATTAGAATAAATGACTCAAGACTAAGAGGCAAGTTAAGAGGAACAAATAAGAACGCAAGAACATAAGAAGAGCCCTGCTGGATCAGCCCAGTAGTCCATCTAGCCCTTCATCCCGTCTCATCCAGTAGCCAACCAGTTCCTCTGGACGGCCAACAACAAGGCATAGAGGTGGAGATCTTCCCTTGATGTTGCCTCCTGGCTCTGGGATTCATGGGATTCGGGCCTCTGACTGTGGAGGTTCCCCTCAGCCACCATAGCTAGTAGCCATTGATAGACTTCTCCTCCATGAATCCATCTCATCCCCCTTTAAAGCGATTTATTCCTGTGGCCATCACTACATCCTCTGGCAGCGAATTCCGCATTTTAATCACACTGTGTAAAGTGGTATTTCCTTTTGTCCCTCCTAAGCCTACTGCCCATCAGCTTCATTCGACGCCCTCGAGTCCTAGCATTCTGGGAGAGGGAGAGAAAATTCTCTTTTTCAGCTCTCTCTACCCCGTGCATCATTTTATAATTGCCTCTTTTCTAAACTAATGAGTGCTTGCGATGTGTTAGGGGCAGTGGCGGTGATAAATTAGGACACAGAGAGCGCAAGGAAGTTTTTATATCTTCCAATACCAAGTTCCTCGCACTGCAGGCAATGCAAGGAAGGCCTGGTCCATACCATACATCACATGGCCTCGCTTCTGGCACATAAGCTTGCTCTTCTACTCCCCCCAGCTCCCCAGATATCGTGCAGGCTTTTGCTGGGCTAAAGAGAAGCAAAAACGCATGCTGCTTCCTTCCCCATTCAGCTCCTTGGTCTCTGAGCTCCAATGGGCAAAGAGCCGTGCCAGGGGAAATTCCTGGCCACATTAGGACAACACATTTGCACTGCCCAGGCCTCATGGACCAGTTGTGGGCTCTTGTGGGGCAGCAGGGTTAACTACTATTTCTTCAGCAAGGTGTGGAGGGGGACCTTTACAATAAGTTGAGCCTTCCTCCTCCCTCAGTTCTGTTCTTTATCTAAGCACAGAAGGGAATTTACAAAAATAAGTTATGCATCTGTTCAGTTTGCGCAATCTATCCGAGAGAGTGATTAAAATGTGGGATCCGCGGCTGGAGGGTGCAGCGATGGTCACAGGAGGAAACAGCTCTAAACAGGCATCCAATTCATGGAGGAGAAGTCGATCAATGGCTACTAGCCATGGAGGCTAAGGGGAACCTCCCACATTCCCAGAGCCAGGAGGCAATATCAGGCCTCTCTGCCCTGTTACTGGACCTCCAGAGGAACTGGTTGGCCAGTGTGTGAGACAGGATGCTGGACTAGATGGACTACTGGTCTGATCCAGCAGCGCCCTTCTTATGTTCTGAAGTCAGGGTTTGTTGGCACAGAATTTGGAATGCCCGGATGCACATATTTATTTTTTTTACAGCACAGAGTACACACAGCCCTGATTTGATTCCCGTGCCGCTTCTCAGCTTATTCTTGATTGTGCAGTGCAGCTGTCACTGTTTGCTCAAAAGACTGTTTCAATAATTACAACGCAGAGTACTGAAAGCGGTATTTAAGAACGCACACTTTGGTTTCTACAAGTTGTTCATATCAGCGGCATAAATCCAAGCCGTGCCATTTGACTCAAAACCATTTGTTTATGCTAGAAGTGTTAATTTTAAATGAATTTAGCAACTGCATTAGCCCGAGGCGTGGAATTTGTCATTACATGCATTGTTAGTGACAGATTGGTTCAATTTCCACACTGCAATCTTTAATGCTTCCAAACTTTATAGTGCAGCTAATTCACCTTGTAGGATACTGGCCTGGTCTTGTATGGACTGAAACTCTGTAGACAAAAGGCAAAAACAACTCAGGAAGGTGTTAAAAATAAATCTGTCACTCTCTCTTAGCAGCTCTCTGAGCATTACTTGGATGAGAACATGTCTGCTGACATGCCCTGCTTACTGGATCCACTAGCTCTCTGGAAGGAATCTAATCCAGGCGGGACTGATGGATTGCCTTCCTGTCTACCCCAAAAGCCAATTAGTTCCTTCAGGCCTTTAAGCAGTCTCATCGGACTGAGACTTTCCAACCCAATGTAAGAGACCATTTTTACAATCCGGCTGAGCAGACAGCCCCAAGGTTTCCAAAAGGCTTGTTTAACAGCAAAGGACAGGTCATTTGAAAACAAAATGTCCCGACCCAGATTGCATTACCGCAGGGGTCCCCAACCTTTTTGAGCCTGCGGGCACCTTTGGAATTCTGACACAAGATGGTGGGCACCGTCACAAAATGGCCGCCGCCATCTGCTTACAGTCACACAGTGAAGATCCTTGTCCTGAGGTGGCAGCGACTACCAAAGCAACTTTTTTAAAAAAAAAATCTACTCAGCTGATCAAATCTCCAATGCCCCCCCCCTTGCTGGGCAAAAGCCCCACCTGCTTTCTAAAAACACATGGTGGGCACCAGGAAAAGTGCAGGAAAGGTGCTGGCAGGTGCCGTGGCACCGATGGGCATCACGATGGAGAACCCCACACTACGTTGACAATAACCGACAGGCCCCAGAGTTATTTTAAAGTGGTTATTTCTAGGACTCGGTTTTAGACTCATGGGGTGCAGATCTGGTCTGGATCACAGGCACACACAAGATGTGTGCTGTTCCCCTTCGGTATGTTATCTGGTTCTCGTTCTCAAAGGAGAGCCAGCAGCTGATGCTGGAGTTCTGCCCCTGGGACACCAGATGCAAAACCGGCCCTAGAAAGCTGCTAGGGAACATGGTGATTCAGAACAGGGCTCTGGGGAAGGGTGGTGGGTACCAGAAACCCCCCCCCCCCACTGCTCACCCAACTGATAATGCCCCCTTGCCGCTTTAAGCCTGGTAGGAGAAAAAGAACAAGTGCAATGCTGTCTCCATCTTTGCACCCTGCTACGGTTTAAAAACAGCTCAGGGGAAGGGGGAGCGTTTCTGTCCAAAAACAGACAGTTCCACACATACCACTTGTAGCTCCTTGCCAGCTGGTTGTAATGTATGAAACTCAACCAGCCGGGCCCGCCTGCCTTCCACTTTCCCAGGGTGATCCTGAAAAGACCCCCATCCTGCCAAAGGTCCTGGAATGTGGCCTCTTTTTGAAACACTGCAGAAGTGATGTTACGGTTAAATGGCAAGTTAAAGTATTCTCCATGGGAAGGCCTAGATTTACAGATATTTCTGTTCAGAGAATAAATCAGATGTATGATAGAACAACGTTTTGGCTTCGACATTGCCTCGAGTGTCGTCTTCCTTTGGGGACATGAGGCCGACTGGCAACTTTCTGAACAGCTCGGTCTCCACATGCGGAGGTTCATGAGTGGCTATTAGCCACAAGGTATGGATGGAGCACTCTGTCTGGGGCAGTGATGCTCTGTCTTCTTGCTGCTCGGGGGGAACAGTGGGAAGGCTTCTGGAGTTCTGGCCCCACTGGTGGACCTCCTGATGGCACCTGGGTTTTGGCCATTCTGTGACACAGACTGTTGGAATGGATGGGCCACTGGCCTGACCTAACATGATTTCTCTTATGTTCTTATTATATCTCTGGTGGGACAGAGAATTTTTGTCCTTTGATCAGACCCACATTGATATGCTTTACAGATGTCGGACATACTGATCTGCCCAGAAGTAGAATGCAATCCAAAGTAACTGAACACTAATGATGGGGCTGATCCGGTCAGTTCCAATAATGCCCAGATCCATTGGAAGCACCACACTTCCAGCTTGGGGGGGTGGGGGGGTAGTCTTCATGAAGCTTGTGCCCTTTCCAGGCATGCAAAAGGCCTTTTCTGTCACTCCCCACCACTCCTGTAACACCAAGAGGGGGCTAGTGGAAGAATGCTGTCTGGGCTGGAAGGGGCACTTACAGCAAGGAGACTTCCAGGCCTGCATGACGTGGCCCATGAGTGGTCCCAATTTAAAAATGATCAAGGTAGTCAGCAGAACCCCTTCGTTTTAGCACAGGGGGTCCCCAACATTTTTGAGCCTGTCGGCACCTCTGGAATTCTGACACAGGGTGGTGGGCACTACAAAATGGTTGCTGCAGGAGGAGGAGCCAACCACAAAATGGCTGCCACCGGAGGAGGAGCTTTTTAAATGTCTGGAGGGTGCCCTCTTGTTATCCATTTTTAACAGGCTCGATTCCTCATTGGACACACAGAAGATCTGCTCACCAGTACCGAAATCTATAGCCACCTTTGCGGAAGTAGTCAAGAGGCTATAAATTCTAGGAGTCAGTTCCTCAAGGACACTCATCTGTTTTCTTAACAGAAAAACGCAACTGTCTTAAAAGTCTGCACAGAGAGCTGCTGGGTAAGTAATGTCATTTCAACTAAGTCTTCAATCTGTGGCAGTCTCGTTCCCTTCACCTCCTGGAAAAAACCCTACATGGTTGGTTTTTTAAAAATAAACTTACATCTCTGACAAAAATACAACCCTCTTCCCCTTACAATAGACTTATATAAAAGGGGAAAAAAGAGCTGAGCTTTGGATAAAGAAACAGGTCTGCTATCATGCACGGCAGAGCCAACCAAGTCAAACAGGTTAACAAAAGCAGGGGTCCAACCAGCTTTGGGTTCATGCCATGCCAACACATATGTATGATCAAGATGCTTCAAGCCATGCACACATGTTCCAGCTTAGCTGCTGGAGGGAAAACCACAGGGTGTTTCCAAATCATTTCATCAATATTGTTCCTTAAGATCGGTTAAGAATCGCAGCCTCACTGCAGATGTATGGGAGAAGGGGGGGGGGCGTGGTTTGCCTGAAAGACGAGAAGCGCCAGAGGGTGGCGTTACTGTGTCCACTGGCCAATATATTTTCCTTCCTAGTTGGGGTCTTGGAAAAAAACTTACATATTAATCCCTAACTGGAGGAGTTAGAATATATATTTTTTTAAAAGCAACAGCTCAGGAAAGCCCTCAGCCTCCACTTTAAACAACTGCCCTAATTCTATGCTTCGTCTTTTTTTGCCGGAAGACTCCTGATGGGGGCCGCTTTCAGATATTGCAGGGTGTCAGCTTTCTCTGTGCCACTGTGAGGACAGGCAGCAGCTTCTTGGCGGGGGAACTTAAGGGACGAACGTGTATTCATTACGCCTTGCAAGCCAGCATCGGCATGGCAGAAATGTGATTTGTGAAGCAGCTGTCAGGTGGAAAGTGAAACCCGTTTTTTATCCTCACTGCTGCTTGTGATACAGGACTTGGGGATACAGCTGGTGATAGTTTCCATAGTCTTTTGCTGGTACTGATTCTGGAGTCCCAATCTGAAACTGATCAAGGTAGCCGGCAGGACCCCTTTGCTTTTAGCACAGGGGGTCCCCAACATTTTTGAGCCTGTAGGCTGCTGCTGGAGGTGGAGCCAAGCTCATAATGGCTGCCATGGGAGCTGGAACTACACACACACACACAGAGGAAGCCCAAGCGAAGGGGAGAAGAGGTATAACTTAAAAATACACTGGGATGGGGCAGTGAGAGAGAATAAAACCAACACTGTGGTGGCAGCTCCAACTGGAATGAGATTTTAATCTGCACAGCCAATCTGATCTCTGGCGGCCAATCAAGTGCCCCGGACACCAGGAAGTGTTGGCGGGCACCACATTGGGGACCCCTGTTTTAGCCCAACGGAAAGAAAGGATTTCACTGGTCGCCAGTGGTTTGACATTCGGCTGTCAACTGGCTGCTGTGAGAGAGCGTTTCCCCCTCCTGCTGTGTAAGTGAGGGTCTCTTCTCTAAAGCCCTGTTAACTAGGAGACCTTTGCTAGGGAGAGACTGCCTCACACGCTGGAGTGGCGAGACTGCCCCTGCCTGAGTCCCTTGTTCCCACGCCACTCCTGGAAAGTTCCTACCCACAGAGATTCTGTAAATGTGGACCCTCTAGACATGCTAATCCGGCCACACGGCAAGAGGCAGAAGCTTCATACCTTTCCAGGGCAGCAAGGGAGCAACCAAATTATTCAGCAACTGGCTGTACAATTTGGGGGCATGACAGGGAGAAATAATTTAAAACAGTTAGACTCCATCCCATGGCCCTTTAACTAAGCAAATATTGATATGGGTGTCGACTTTCTTTCGGCCAGCATTTGTAAGTTCCTCTTCTTCAACAAAAGAAGAGACACACACCCGTGTTCCCTCTAAGCTGAGTTAGTGTGAAAAAGATCTAGAATCCACTACACACACCATACTTCATTGCCCCCTCTATAGGGATATCCGATCTCGTTTTATTACCCCATTTCTAGAGGGTAAGAGCTGGCACTCTGATGACTCAACTGTTCACTTTCTTCTGTTTAATTCTAATTGCGAAATAATGGAGGCTGTTGCAAAAATTTTATATTATGCAATCAGAGGACGAGACTTGAATAGCCAAGTGTAAGTGACTGATGCATCTTAGTATTTTCCCCGTATTTCCATGATGTTTTCTGCTTACATGCCAATAAAGGTTTTGTGTGTGTGGACATTTTCATCTTAGCTCTGGAAAAATGGCTCCAGAGCAGACTAATCTATGCAGTAGCCAAATCACTCGCTCACAACTTTGATGCCAGTGGCTCACGAAGTCGAATTTTTGCTCGCAAGACTCCACAGCGTAGAGGGAGCATTGACACTCAGCTGTGCTAAAAGGGGGGGGGGTTCTTTCTTTTTCTTTTTGCAATGGCATACAAGCCTGAAAGCTTGCTCTCTATAGGCAACACGTGAATCTCAGGCTAATTTGTGTCTCCTCTGACCCACACGGGCAGAAGCGATTGTGCTAGCTGGACTCAGTGGAAAATAAGAAAGGCCTTGATGCTACACGGCAGGCAGAGGACAACAACCCTTTTTAGAAACACCAAAAGGGCACTCTTCTGAGAGATTAAAACCATGCGTGCACACATGCAAAAAATAAATAAATTAAAAATGCATTCTCCCCGCCCCACCCCCCAAAACACACACTTCAGACCGCAACAGAAAGTCCGTTTCAAGCGCAGACCTGTTCTTTGGGATGCAGGAAGCTCACTGGCTGCAGGCTCTGTACCTGTTGGTCCAGGAGGCAGTGCATACGGCAGAGTAGATGCTGGGGCTCCCGGCCTGACATGCTGGAAGGAGGTGCCGGAAGGGGGAGGGGGAAGAGAAGAGCCTGGATTCAAGGCTGTCGGAGAGGCCTGGGGTTGTGCTGGATACAACTGAGAAGGCAGGGAGCTGGGAGGGTTAGAGGGGACGTACAGCGGGGAAGGGTTAACGTAAGAGGCGGAAGCGGGAGGGGCGAGAGGCTGTTGGGGTTGATAGAGCGGCGGTCCCCCCGTTCTGAAAGAATACTGCTGCGCTGGCTGACAAGCTACACAGGAGGGAGGCAAAAAAAGGAGAACCGGAGTTAGTTGAGATAATCTGACACATGTCTATAATCATCAACACTCCTTGGAGTACTCTGCATGCCTTCCCTGACGTCATAATTATTCAGGATGAATGGATTTTGACTGGATTCCCACTTAACACACAGGCGAGAGAAGCTGAATTCATCTTAACCTCCAGCTATTATTTACGCATTGCACCAACATGCCACCGTTTTTCCTTCGTAAACTGCCTCAAGTTTCGTTTCGTCGGATTTCCGGGTGCTTTCCCCATCCTGGCAATGCCTAGACTCAGCATTTTGGGTTTTGGCAATGCTGCTGCATCAGGTGCCGTCTAACCATGCCCAGAAGTTTTAAAGAGAGAGCACTGTAACTTATGCAAAGAGTTCTTATTAACTTAAAATACCCATTGCTCAGAGGGCTCTCTCTTCCAAATCCAGTGAATCACAACTCTTCGAAAACGGTGATTCCCTTCCCCCTAGTATGATAGAAATATATTAAAAGTATGGTGATGAAACTACAAGGAGAGGGGAGGTCTCAAATGAGTCTCCCAACGCTGCAGTTATTTCTCTGTAAAGTATATTTATTGCCTCTAAGGCGACCTAAAAGCCATTTGTCGACACCATCAGCAATCGGGAGACCTGTTTTTTTTAATCCCAGTTCAACAAGTGAGATTTATGACCTCTCAAGACTGTTGTGGAGATACAGATATACTGCAAAATATTATGGGCTTTTGGGATAAGACGGTGCAAGACGAATCTAAGCCTGCTACATTAAAAAAAAGCCTACATCCCATATTTCTTGTCAAATTCCAATGGAGCTCTGCTGGACACGTCTGGCAACATGTGCATTCTCATAACCATTCCATTTGTCAGACAGGGGTCCAAAGGCCAGAAGTGTATTTTGCAACACAAACTAATCTTCCTTCCCAACTGGTCAAGTTTCATAACAACATTGGTGCAATCTAGCATACTGAGCTTCAAAATTATAAAAAACATATGCTGGGTGTTGGATACAATACAAAATCTTTTAAAGAGTCAAAATGACAGAATATGGATTGGATCCAGCCAGTTTATTCCCTCAATCTCACCTAACTCTCTTCTTTACTACAGCCTTCATTGGCTTTGCCCACGCAGATCCTGAGAGTCTTTTTGGTGGCCAAAGCCCCCCACCCCCATCCGGGCTGGCAGAAAAGCTGGGTGGATTCAACCAATGCATCTTATTAGGTGGAAATACTTGCCTCTTTCTTAATGGGTCAAGCTATGGATTCAGCTTCCACTATACTTTGATCAACATAGAATCATAGAGTCCAGGGTCCTCTAGTCCAACCCCCCTTAACAGTGCAAGAAATTCACAAATACCTCCTCCCCATACCCTCAGTGACCCCTGCTCCATGCCCAGAAGATGGCAAAAAAACAAACAAACCACCCTCTCCAGAATTCTTGGCCAAAACTGGCCTGGAGAAAAATGGCTTCCTGACCTCAAAGTGGCGATCAGCATTTCCCTGGGCATGTAAGAAAGGGCTACGAGAACTAAGCACTGAGGCAACCCTTCTTGCCCTCCCTCTCATAACCTGCTTAAGTTCACAGAATCAGCACTGCTGCCAGATGGCCACCTAGCCTCTGTGTGAGAGGTGGAATGAATGGGGAAGGGAGGGGTGAATGGAGGGTGGTTGGAATGATGTTGGTATGTTTGGTTTGTGTGATTGTGGAATGGTTGGAAGAATGGGGTAAAGGAGGTGAATGGGTTGATTATGAATGGAGTAGAAAGGTGTGTGAATGTATATTGGGAAGTGTTTCATATACAAGAGATATGCCAAGTGTTGTGGCATACATTTTTTCTCTTGGTCGGGTAGAATGGGATTTGGTGTTTAGGTGTTGGGTAGATAAGCACAGATAGGTGGGGCTGGTAATGGGATGGTGGGGACCGATATTCCAGGCTGGTAGAGAACAGAAAAGACATGGGAACGAGAAATGGTCAGTAGTTATATGACAAAGAATGTAAATATTATATGTACAACTCTTAATGTGAGAGGGTTGGGGAATCCGGTGAAACGGGCAAGAGTTGGAAGATATATTTATGAATTAAAAGCTGATGTGGTCTTTTTGCAAGAGTTACATAAGGGGGGGAGAGAGAGAGAGGTGAACTTTCCTGGCTTTGGGAAAGGAAAGAAATTTATTGCTTCAGGCTCCTCGAAAAGTAGAGGGGTGGGAATAGTAATAAATTCCAAAGTTGATTTTGTTGAGGATAAAGTATTGAGAGATAAGAACGGAAGGTTTATTTTTGTTCAGGGACACCTGGAGGGAGAGCCGGTGGTTTTAGCTTCTATTTACCTCCCTAATGTGCATCAGCTGAATGTATTTTATAGGTACTTGCAGAAGCTTGATAATTTTTCGCCTCACACGAAGATAGTAGGG